AGACGCAAGACAGCTCTGATGTTCAGGGGTACTTGCTTCTCATACACACCCTCAACACTAGGATGGTTGAAGAGTAAGGAGAACTTCTCGCTCTCGTTGAAGTAAATATCTTCCGATACAGTTAACTTAAAGAGATGGCTTGATGGATGGCCATTGGGAAGAGTGTAATTGACCTGTTCGACTTCACAGCCTTCCACTTCAACATCGGGAAGATCCTTACTCTTGAGGTTGAGGAAGACTTGCCGAGGAACATTGACCTTAAGCGTGTGGATCTTGGCATCGATAAGGACATATGCCATGACAATACCAGGAGTCTCAGTCGCTTTGAGGTGCAAGACCTGCCAGTTACTCATGTAAGTAGTGTGCGCCTGCTTCATGAATGTTTGCTGAAGATTGTTGACTGCACCGCCTCTTCGGTCACCAAACAATTGCCGTCGACGGATTCTGGCTTGCTTCTGTAACTTCCACTTCTTCTTCTGGTACATCAAGAATGCCTCATAGTTCTCCGAAGCACTTGGCATAACTTCAGGAAGTGCAGACATGGGATCGGGGTTCTCTGCTGGCTCAGGAGACTTGCGCTTCTGAATCGTCGTTGCGGCCTGCGAGGATGCAATGACTGCGTTGACTTGTTTGGGCTTCAAAAGCTTGCTACCGAAATCTTCTACATCATCCAGTCGAGAACCACTAATGTTGGTGATGTCTTCCAGTGGACTCTTTTTGAAGAGATCAGTGAGCTTCTTCTGCTTCAGTTTGTCGTCCTTGATGTTGATCCTCCTTTGAAGCCAGTCAGGATGTGGCACTCGAGGTACAGGGTTGCGGACCTTTTGGAGAGCGGCAGGAATGGTGATCAGCTTCTGGATAACAGAACCCAATCGCTCCAGGTAATAATCCCAGTCAAGGAGTGCACGAGGATCAGTGTCAGTGGGCTCCTCCTTTAGCCACTTCCTCAGATATGTACGTTTGGCAGATTCCTCCGCAGAGAAGATGGCCACCGGAACAGCTCGTTCTGTAACGGGTGCATTTTTGGGTCGAGCACAGATGATGAACTTACAGTTCAGTCCCTTGTCCTTTACCATCTGCTCACCCAAGAAATCTGCCAGACGCTTGGCAGTTGTGATACTGGTTGACTTCTGGTTTCCGTACTCCTCCAGTGTTTTGGACATGCTTCGATTCTCAGAAATGAGTTCCATCAACTCCTCGTCTGCCAATGTTGTGCCCTTGCTGTGCAGAACATCCAGCCAACGGTTGGCAACCTTAGCAACGGCTCCATAACATTCGGCCAGTGTTTCACCTTCGAGGAAAAACTTGAAAATTTGTTGCTGGAAGATTTTGATGAGCTTGAGCTCACCACGACGTTTCACCTCGAAACCTTTCAACTCAGCAAGACTGCCGTCATCGTTGAAGACAGCGTAACGCTTCTTCAAGTTTTTGTCTTCTTCTTTCGATGTGGGCAGAACCATAGCTTTGTATGGACCATCGACTTCGAAAAAAATGGAATTGTCGCTGTGCGTTTCGTACTTGAGGGTCTTCTTATCAACGAGTGTCTGGTATTGATGGTTGGTGAATTTTGCATGAACGTGGTGGTTAAGCATAACACAGGGATATGAGATGTTGAGTTTCTTGCCACCCTTGAGTTTGAAGGAGAAGTTCTCGGGGAAGGTTGCGGGAAGCATGCACCAGATACCGTCGGTATCCAATTCCAGAGGTCGTCCCAGCCGTTCGACCAGTTGTCGAGCCATTTGAATAATGTGAGCACCCGTCAAACAAGTGACGCCAGCCATTTCAAGCGAGTACCAACGAGATCCCTTTCTCATCACATAGCCGTAGAATGAGTTTAGAATAACTTTGTGCGCCAATTGCAGCGAGTCGTAGAGAATAATCATCTTCTTGGCAGCATCAACCTCGCTCTGGGCGGCACCAGCAGACTGCAAGGATGACGTCTTTCCCTTCCAAACCTTGGCTTTGCCCTTGTAGTCATATCGACGATCACGGAAGTCTCGTACGGTGTTGATATAAAAGGGGTTTTCTCTTTGGCAAATGATTGCCTCTCGCACAATAGTTGTTGAATCATGGATTTTGTGGTAGACCTTCTGAGAATATAGCTGAAGGCGTTTTCGTACAAGATTGGCTTGCTCATCGGCACTGAGTTCCTGGAAGGTTCTCATAGGAGAACTGGGATATTTACCAGGGAACTTCTCGTTCTGAAGTGCATTTTTAATCATGTTATACTCATCTCGTTTTGGGGGCAAATATTCTCCTCGCCAAGCCCACGGTAACCTTCTATCGCATGTCTTTCCAGGTCGATTGAAGTCGCAGGCAGCACAGTCGGACTCTTGAATCATAGAGTCAGGCTGTAATCGGTTGGTTGTCATGATGTTAGGGTACATCGATGCGACATCCAGATGGTAAATCAGGGGCTTTTCGTTACGGTTCGGCGCTTCTTTGAGCTTGTTCAACCTCTCGACGATCTGAGCCTTGACTTCTTCGTAGTTCTCTACATCATCAAAGTTCTTCTTCTCCTCAACTGTGATTACGAATTTGAGGGCAGCATCTAAATCGCCGAGGAGCTCGTCAATAGCTCCAGGGTCGACAGCAAAATCAACCGGGATATCAGCTCGAAAGACTCCTGCTTCAATACTTTCAACGTGGCCACCGACATAGGTCTCTGAATCGAGGAGATGCCCATCCCAGAAGGCCTCCTTTGGTGTGATATACTTATTCGGAAGTACAATTTGTCGTTGAAATGCTTGTACCATCAGGAGCATCTCGCAGAGTGTACCAGTTCCCTTTCTCAATACTTCATCACCGCTCAAAGGTAGAATCGTGCAAAGTGAGAAAATGAAAGGGTGCACATATTTCATGTACAGGTAATATGTTGCAACGGCATCGGAGACCGAGTATTCAGCGAGTGTTTGTGGTCGCTCAGTCGCATATGGTGTCATCAATTCGGGATCCAGCTCGTCTGGGTCGTATCCGAGCTTCGCGACAGTGACGGCTTTCAGACCGCGAGAACCTTGAGGCAGATACGAATCTCGGTTGACCCAATGGAAGCAGTCCATGTGCACACTGTAGTTACACTTGTACTGATCCTCGTTGTCCTTCTTCCATCCAATCTCTTGATACATATCAATTCCATTGATGCTAGCCCGTGCTTCCACAAAGGGCCAATCAAAAAAGTCACCGTTGTAAGTCGCAATGACGGTAGGTCGTGCCTCCTTGATGTGGAGGAAGAATCTCTCGATGACAGCCTTTTCATCGGGTTCGTTGAAAATCATGAAGGGGCCCGGGTATTCTGGTTTGGGTGTGTAGTCGAAGTCGCCAATATCTTCTGAAAGGATTTGTCGGTTGGTAATTAAGAACCCTTGGCCATCGATCATGTAAGAAATCATGATAATCTGATCGGTGGCAGCATCAGGGAATTTGAGAGGCAGCTTTGATGTTTCAATATCATAAGCCATTACTACAGGTTCAGCCGGCAACGACCTCTCTTCGTTTGGGTAAATTTTGGTGACACCATGTTTGGCTTCAACAAAGTACCACTTTCCGGCTCGTATATCTGGGTGTCCATGTCAGTAGGTGATTAGAAAGGGTTGAAGGCAGAATGGAGGACTGTAGAGAAGCAATAATCAGGGCAATGGTGAATAGTGGTCTCATGGCCTTTGAGGGCTCTGAAGTAGCAAATACTTGGTTGCAAACATCATGTAAAGCTTGTAGAAGAGTGTGGGCAAGGGTTGATCATACCTAAATCTATCATTACTCGTACATGGTATGGTACATCATATTCTCTTATATCGACGATAAAGTCGCTCGCATCGGAAAGGGCAGTATTCATATTTCGGTCGTCATCTCGTGAATCGTCAAAAAGGTCGAAGTCGCCATTTGAGCTGTTTCGTATTAGCTCGATCCTGCCAAAGATCAGTTGAGCACTTACGTTGCCACCTCGGCGTAGGCATCCATAGCATTCATATTCTTCTTGTTCTTTTCCGCGATAGGCATGATATCTTTTCTCGCAGCCATGAGGTCATTGACATTGGCAAATCTCAACTCCAGAAATGTCCTTCGGTAGCCGAGCAAGTGGTTGGGCATATTGAGATCGTCTTTCTCGACTCTTCGAATCGACTTGACAACACCACCTCCGGCAACCCTCTTGACCCATTCCTCAACCTCAGACTCTCGTCCTTTCTTGACAGCGATCAAGAAGTATGGGTCAAATTCCACAGTAGCTTTGAAGGTCGAGCCGTCTTCTTCGATAAAATAGCAGTCGACAGCGGCTCGACCACCCGGTATCCGTTCGTCCTCGATAGATGTGGGCTGGATGTTGACTAGCCAGCCTTCTCTCTTCTTTCCGCTCTCATAACGCGCAAAGCCCATGTTCTCGTCAATGCTGTGTGCTAGCCGTGTTCGTTCCCATTTCTCGTCTGCTGATGTGGCCTCGTTCCTGGATGAGGCCGCGAATGTGCGTGTTCGGTTGCCATGGTAGGCAACTTTGCCTCCTCGGCGGAAGCCCTTCTGAGGGCGACGAAGACTTGTGTTGGGCATTGAGTGTTCTGGGGGTCTCCCCAAAAGGAGTGTGGCTTAACAAGCAGTTGACGATGTCAGGGAACAGAGATTCGACATGGAGAGGGGGGAATTGTACAAGAGCAGTTAAAATAACACAGAAGAAGAAAAGAATCGAGAGAAAAAAGTTGTTTGCAAAGTCAACACTGAGCGGAGCGTATCTGTGGAACAAAGTAAATGAAGGGAGTCCCTAAAGCCTGGACCGAGATTGGATAAATTGGAAGCGTGAGACGCGTTTAGACGCGCCCTCGCGACGCGATTGCACTCCACTTTACTTTAATGGACTTTCGACAGAGCAACGAGGTGTGCACGGGCCATCAAGACTCCCGATGCAAGCCTTGCTTGCCAGGCGTCATCGGCCTTATCCCACGTGCTTCTAAAGAAAGTTGAGATTTGGCTCGATCTTGTTCATGACACCAGTTGCGTCGCAATTATAGCCAGGAATGGCTTCAAATCCACAGGATGGGCAACCGATGCCCGGCGATAAGACTCTGCATGTCTGGTCGAAACCCATAGAGCAAAACGAAGCTACCACAGTCAACGGCGAACATGGAGCGACACCGACGAATAATAGGCCAACTATTTCAGAGGCCGTTTCTATGATCAAGAAGGATGATTTTGCCAATGTTGCAAATACTCCTTGTGCTCGACAGGGCTTCATCACAGGAATAGCATCTGGTGCCGGTATTGGAGGATTGAGGTTTGTCCTCAAAGGTGAGTGGACAATGTTGAACTTTTAGTAAAAGGCATGGTCTAAAAGGAGTGAAGGGAATCCTGGTAGCGCTGCAAACTGGGCTGTTGGAATGTTTGTTCTTGGAAGCATGGCATCATACGAATGGTGCCAGTACCTACGCCGCGAGGAACGTCGACAAATGAAACGACACATTGAGGTGGTATCAGAGAATAGGAGAGAGCAAGCAAGAAAGATCCAAGAGGCAAGGCGTGAGCACGACAAACTGGAGGCTGAAAAGAAGGCTGCAGTAAAGCCATGGTATAAGGTCTGGTGACCATCAGGTTGAGCACATGGCCTCTCCTATGTACTATTATTTGTGTAAGGGTGTATATCTTATGGATTGGATATAGCTTGTAAAATCTCAAGCGCAAAAAGACAAACATAGACGAAAAGGGCAAGTATAAAGAAGTGCTTCCGTGAATTGGGCACCGAATCGTAGTGGTGTTGTATGATCTTTAAAGACCAGGGTATAAAGCGGCTTGATTAGGCCTTGGATGTATTTGCCAACGATCCCTTCAATTTTCACCAACCATGAATCCCCATGAAAGAACCATCAAATTTCTTCGTGATTGATACGCCGCTTCCTCCAAGTCGCTAGAATAAAGAAACGCCAAAGTAATCGTCAAAAAAATCTATAGCCGCAGCCAGCATCCTTATAAGCGTTGGCGTCAAATAATAACGTTATCCTGTAGTAATCGCAACACTCGAAGCATCCGTGTCCGTGAATCTGACCTTTCGCGGCGGTGACTGCTCCTCTGATCGTCCGAACTTGACTCCCGAACCACGACCACGTCGCTGACTGCGTCGTGCTCGTGCCTCACTCTCTTCTCGTTTGCGATACTCTGCCATCTGCTGTCTCCGTCTCATGGCGCGTGCATGCGCAAGAGCTGGTGTGGGTTTGAATCCGATACCGTTGATTCCAATACCGTCGTCATCCTCATCATCAGGGTCGTAGATGGTGATCTCATCTTCATGCCACGTCAGCGCAGCTCTGACAGGGTCAACGATCTGGACCTCTTCTTCGTCTGGGTCCTCAAAAGGCCGCCGAGAAGGGCGCTTCATGCGGAGTGGCGGCGAGCCTGTTCTCTTCTTGACTCTCGATTTTGACTCGGAGAGCCGGTTGATAGACGGGTATGCATGATGCAGGCTCCCGTGGTTTTGCTTTTGTTGCCAAGGTTCTTCGTGCACGCGACCTTCGAAAGGTTGCGGCGGTTCTTTTGATGGTAGGACAGACTTTCCGTCAAGATCGACCACTTCTTGGACAGTTGGAGCTGCTTCTACCTCGCTCATAATCTCATCGGGTCTCTGTCGCTTCCTCATCGACTTGTCCTCATCCATGAGATTATCAATGTCTTCGTTGCTGACTGTTGCCCCGCCCCCACTTTCCAGTGCAAGACCACGGAACTTGTGGGCAAGGACCCTTGATCGTGAGCTATCGCTGCCATCTTCAGTGTCTGCTTGAGTTGGGACTGAAGAAGGGTGAGATGAAGACGATAGAGGGTCATGCACAAAAGTGAATTGTATAGGAGATGCCCAGCTTTCTTCTCCACGCTTGCGTTTCGGGGTGCTAGAGATGTTTGCTGACGCGGTGGCCATGGCCATAATGCATTGTTTGACAATTCAGGACCAGGACGAGTCGAGCCGAGTCCAAAGCCGAGAAGGTATTATCGAAAACAAAGTTGATAGCTCGTTCTAGTTGTTGATGATGCCTTGTAGAGGTACGTTGAAGGGAGGATCAATTAGTAGTTTGAGCTGAGTCGATGGCACCTGAACTATTGGTTTTGGTTGCGCAAGCACCACTTGCTACTTGTGACCTTCTGTCAGTACCTGACTTGCTTCACTACCTTAATAAACTGGGAAAGGGAAGCGCGAGTGGCAGTGTGACTTGATGGTATATTCCAATTGGGCCCTTTATTTTGTGTTCCGATAATGAGAATAATAAGAATAGTATTGGATTACTATACTGCATGACTACAAGTACAAAGCCAACTAGGTAAGTATCAGGTTCGTAAGAGCCTCGTGATTAACCCGCAAATTCAGCGTCACATTCGGACTTTCGGGTCACGTTGGATCTGGTTGGACCAGCATCATGTCGTAGATCTGCCGCTGATCGCCAAGTCTCAGATGTTTAAGGCATAATAATAGATACCTAGCATGGTCAATCTGAATGGTAATATAATATGAATATGTACAGTTGTTATATAGAAATTTGTATTATGTAAAGACCCTCTGACGCCAAAGCTATCTGATGCCGGATGCGGCGTCGTTTTATAGCCCCTCCAAATCCATACCCCAACGCCATTGTTTCCCATGTCAAACCACCCCAACACCACTAATGCCAGATCTCAGACCACTGTGCCGTTCCGTTGTGGCTTTTTTGTATAAAATCTGGCAATGCCGTATTTTCCCCGCTGATTTTGTTACTCTTACCTAAGCCTGGTGTGAAAATGAAATGTCCTAGAAGGAATGCTCGCTATGGACATTAATGACGAAGATAGAGTCATGACCAAGTCCGTTGGTCTGCTGATAATTAAGCATGACATGTTGAGTTCTATACATTGTGGATGGCCTATATCATGTTAGGCAACATAACAAATACAGGCTTTGGTATCCTCATTACTTACGCGAAGCATCTTTGCCCTGGCGCCAACGGTATCAATGCCCAGCTGCTGCAAATCCTCGTCTTCGAGACATGAAACTTGAGCTGGAGACATTCCCGACAAGCATCTTTCATACTTGTGCAACCTCAAAGCTCGAAGCCATTTGGCAGCCCATCGAGGATCTTGAGAGTTATGCGGGAATACTGGCATGATCCATTTCGGCTTTACGGGAGGCTGGATGATGAGTTTCTCTTGTTGCCTCCATAATTCTCGCTTGCGGTCTTTGAGTGCCTGGATCAATGGCTCAATCTCTCGCAGACTTGGTAGTTCTGCAATTGAGTGGAGGGCAGATGACCGTTCACTATCGTCCAATACTGAAAACCAGGTTCTGATTATTCCCATCTCGTCTCCAATCTTGCCGGTATCTCTTCCTGAGGAAGACAGACGATGGTGGAATGAAAGTGAAGCAGAACTTGAAGTTGGTGAGCCTGAGTATGAACTCGATAGACTGGAAGAATATGAAGACATGATGCTGAAGGCCTGCTGCGTATGCTGTGTAGTCGGTCAACGAGGTTAAATATCAAATACAATAAGATGAAGATGAAATTAATCTCAGAGGATATTCTGACTTCAAATATTGCAGTTGACTTGTAGAGCGCTGACGAGGCTCTTGACAGTCTTGTATGTGGTGGATTGATCTGTGGCGTGGTCGATCTGACGGCGACCGGGGCCGCTTGGAAATAAATCACCTTAGGTCATAAGTTGGTTGGAGCTGGATTGAGCACGTATTTATTAAGGAAGTCTCCCAGATGCCAAAAAGCCACCATTCTCGTCTCAGGCCGCCCTGGCTCTTCCAACCAACGTTCGATCCCCTAGGTAATCACAGATCCATTATGGGCCTTCCTGGTACGGCCCCTCGGCGATTTTAACCAAGTCACTCATGATAGTGGCAAGATATTGACAGAGATAAATACCATACTTCTCTATTCTTCCATTTGAGTATCATATAGTGAATGTCTATGGATTTAGGGTGGTGAGAGAGATATGAGCAAGTTATTTTTCCTGTTTGCTCCACTGCTGTCCATACATCAAATGCCGGCTGAGGCCTCAGATCGTGACCCCTGTCGAGTACTACTTCACAAAGCTTTAGTATTGGTCTCGAACTACTTGTGACTACCTTGGTTGGGCAAAAGCACAGCTACTTGAAACATGGTGCGTTGACATAATTATCAGACAGTAGTCTTGTAAGTGGACAGCATGAGGAACGAGCCACTGGTAACTGTCTCAATCAAGTTATGTAGATCAACCTTGATGGCCCGATGCTTTGGTGCAGTCAACAGCAAACGTCCTGGAGAGTAGGCTATGTGTTATCCCCCCTCTAGGCAGGGTTCCGGAAACCTTCAGACCTTAAACCGGGACAAGAAAGTAAGCAAGCTAAAGATTATGGTAAACTTGTCGGAAGATACTATAAAATATTACCGTATTGTCCGAGTCTTTCCATCACTTATTAGGACACATGTTCAAAGTTTTATGTCACCTTCTAGCTACTAACACAGGATCCATGCCGTGCCACCCTATATCCTCACACCTGGAGATGGTCGGAATAACCAGTACGCATTCCTCGAGCAAGGTCGTAGTATAGATAAATTCTCGAGATGGGTTCTTTGAGTTTTAGTTGTATGTAAATATTTTCTTTGCCGCTGTTGAAATAATCCTGTGATACTATAAATAAGTGATCAAGGTCACTCGCAAATAGTGTAATGGGCGTACAGTGGTACACCAACAACTCAAAATTGTGATACTGCTCCCTTACCACAGGCTACTTTAGTCAGTAGGAAGCCTCTACAAGATGTTCACAACTAATGCTTTCCCAAGGATATCAAGATCCTCGCTGTGGGTCTCTACTGACCGAGGTAATTTGATCTCAAAAAGGGGTTTACGGGTATCACTAGTGAAAAGACTTGTCATGTCAAACCTCCATTGTATATATCAGCTCTGGTCCATACATTCGACATATATTCAGCCGCAGCAAACAGTTGTCTCCTCAATCCCCTTGGCCTTATCATCAGGGGCTGTCAAATCTTCGACATTGATCCTTACAACGAGCCAGTCACAAAAGAACTTGCCGAGGCCAGCACCAATAAAGATGCTAATGATAACATAGCCGTTGAAGTACATGGCCAAGAGCATGATGATGTAGGCTCCCGCAAAAGTAGCAGCGTGGATGAATGCGCGGATGAATTGCTGCAGAGGTGAGGCTCGATATGTAAGTGTTTGACTTGTGGGAACGACAGCTCCTGTGCAACCCGCGGCGGCGAGAGCGACACTGTGAGTGGTGGCTTGCCGCTGGAAGCCACGCTGAAGAAGGGCATCGTATTCCTTGCCCATACGCCGGAAGAACTCGACGAGAATAACGAGGAGGATAACGCCAATACAGGTAGCAGCCATCATGCCCTGGTTCTTGATTTGCCATGATGAGGCCAGGAAGCACGCATCGATTGTGTTCCAATTCCACAACATCTGAGGTTATTAGTCAACGAAAACTTGGTATCTCTTGGTAGTAAATCTTACGTCGACCTTACAGGCAGCACCGCTACCGCCCATTCCTCCGTGATCCATGATGAATTGTTAGGTTGGTATGGTTGGTATTTTCACTCGAGTTGAACAGTGGTGCTTGGATGATGTAATCGATAATTGACAGTGAATCTGACTTGAACTGAACCAAGTCTGTATTATTTTGAACCAGAAAGTGGCTGGCTGGGGAGATAAGTATCCGTAAGTCGAATGAATATCAAGGAGTTGAGGTTCCACTGAGAAAGATTGAGCTGTTTCCAAGACTTGTATGGAGTAAGACTGCCGGAGAATTAAGAAGCGACATGCAAGAGCAGAAATAGGGTAAAAAATTAAGGTTATGCCGAAGGATGAGGGAGATATTAATAACGCGATATTATTCCATCACTGATTCGATCCCTGATAATACTTCAAACCCAAATCTAGGGCTGGAAAGCTTCATGTTCCGTCCAGATCCCAAGGTTTGCCGTGCTTCGGTGGATTCCCCTGGTGGAGACACTATGGAGTAAGATCCCTGTAAAACGTGCTCATTCCTGCTCAACTCCTCTTGAATAGTCTCTCGCTTGCCTCAGCTTCGTATGTTTCTTTCTATCTCAGGATATCATTTCTTCATCAGGATCGTTCCGGCCAATCTCCAAGAGGGCGTTTTGAGCAAGTAATCAGGAAACGATTCCCCGATATGGCCTGGCTCCCGACGCCAAGTAGACCTTATTATCACTTCGTACCCGATTATCTCGTAGACCTCAAACATGCTCATACTAGGTCGTCAAAACCGTGGCGGCGGTTGGTTCTTCAGTGGAGACTCGACCGATGGGTCGATTCTTATTTGTATCTAATGGTATCGCGTCTTTGATCATTCTACTCCAATCCTGATACTCAACAGTCATCTCTTCTCATGGTTCGTGATATATGAGATAGCTACAGATCGCCCATCCGTTGATCTGTTGTCCCATCATTCTATGAAAAAATCAACTGCCTCTTGACATATTTTTGCCCCTTTCATAGAACAGCAGGACCACTACGCCCTCCACGATGGTGTCTCTCAACCAGCTGGATGCTCGCCACATCCAAAACATGAGCGAAGCCAAAACCCTGGAACCTCACTGGGGATATGCTGATCGCGCTCTCCCTTGCACAAACGATAAGGGATCTTGCGAGTATCTCGATCTGGTCTATTATGCCCACGATCTAGGCATGCTCTACTCCGGAATCCTTTGGGCTACTATTCTCGCAGTCTTCTTCCTTTGGGCTATTCTGCGACATGTCGGCAAACCCTCATCTCCGGCTATCACTCTTGGAGCAAACCCAAAAGCCGGTCTCGCCAAGGTCCGCAGCAGTCTCAGCTCGTTTACACGGCAATATCTCCTCCCAGATGCCTGCCGCGGGATCTTCGGCCGTACCACTCGTTTTCAAGTTGCTGTTATGCTGTCCCTCGTGGGATATCTCACTGTATGGAGCTTTATCGGTATGACATATCAGAAATGGGTCACTCCCGTCAAAGACATGCCCGGAGTCTACAACACTCGCACTACTCTCGGTCCTTGGTCTGACCGAGTCGGTATTCTCGCGTATGCCCTGACTCCTCTGTCTGTCCTCTTGGCTAGCAGAGAATCTGTCCTTTCTCTCATCACAGGAGTACCCTACCAGAGCTTCATCTTCCTCCACCGCTGGCTGGGCTATATCATCTTCCTTCAGGGTTCCCTTCACACCATTGCCTGGTCTATTGTTGAGGTCCGCCTATACCAGCCTCAACCTAAGGTGGCTGCCGAGTGGATTGTCCAGGAATACATGATCTGGGGTGTCGTTGCCATGATTCTGCTTCTCCTTATGTTCATCGGAAGTACTCCTTGGGGAATTCGCGCAACAGGATACGAGTTCTTCCGCAAGTCTCACTACGTCCTCGCCATGGTTTATATTGGTGCCTGCTGGGGTCATTGGAAGCAGCTCAAGTGCTTTCTGCTTCCATCACTCCTGTTCTGGTTCGCTGACCGTGGATTCCGACTGCTTCGTACCGCTTATCTGCATTATCACCATCTCCCCTCGGGTAAGATGGGGTTTCAAGCCACTCAAGCTGTAATCACTAGGTTCCCTGACGCTGAACATGGAGACATTCTTCGATTCGACCTTGAAAACGACCAGGACCCCTGGAAGATCGGACAGCACTATTTCCTGTGTTTCACTGAGAGCAGTATCTGGCAATCACACCCCTTCACCCCGCTAAATGCTCCTGTCGTTGAGAAGGGTGTCGTGAAGCACTCGTACATCATGCGCGCTAAGGGCGGCGAAACTAAGAAAATGGCTGAGCTGGCTGCCAAGAAGCTCACGACCTCTGAGAAAGCTACTACTTCTGTCATTCTCACTGGCGCCTATGGTGAGACCACAATGGACCATGTTGCACCTGACACCAATATTGTCTGTGTTGCTGGTGGCACTGGCATCGCTTATGTACTCCCTGTCCTCCTTAACCTCGCACGATCACCCATTTCCCGAGACCGCAAGGTTGAGCTCATCTGGGCCATCCGCCATGCCGCTGATACTGAATGGGTTCAGGAGGAGATGGACCTCCTGCAGCAGGCCCGAAAGGCTCTCAATCTCAAGATCCGCGTATACGCTACACGAGACTCCAGCAGCAGTTCCAAGCTGCAGGTCAGTGACGAGAAGGATGTCACAGATGCTACCAGACAACTCGGTTCATCATCATCGTCAGACGTGATAGAAGAAGGCTGTGCGTGCGGAAACGATGTCCCTGTTGCTAAAATCGGAAACGGTATTGTCGATGAGGACCGACACCCTAACCTACCCAAGCTCATCAGCGACTTTGTGAGTAACACGATTACTGGTCCCACGACAGTCTTTGCCAGTGGCCCCGGTGGAATGATCAGTGATCTTCGCACGATTGTGGCTGGGTGCAACTCGGGCAATAAGGTCTGGAGTGGCAATGAGCGATTTGATGTTAAGCTGGTTTGCGACGATCGTTTGGAATGGTAGGGCATCTGCGCAAGACCAGGAATGAATCATTGTTTGGAATTGTGTGATTTGCAACTTTGAGATACCACTCTAGCGACTTTGCATTTAGATGGCGTTTTCGGGGCTACAAAAGGGTTGATTGGATAGTTTGCGTATACAGCGTCGGTAGATACATGTTATTCATGAAGAGCATGATACTCAGGGATTTTATCTATGCCTCATAGAACAACCTCTTGTGGCATTTGGACATAACTTCGTTCTCCGAACACATGTGAACGATTACACCATGTCATGGAACCCATGGGCCTGAGCCTAGCGTGATCATGCTTAGGCTTCACAAGCAGCCTTTAGCTCCTCCACAACATTACAATTACACCTGTTAAAACGTGGATGGGCACATAGGAATACTTTTAGTATACAGGCGATTGGGTATGTACAACGCACAGTTTAAGCCTCATAAAATATGCAGTGATAGTACTGCGCAAGCAACGGACTACTGTACCAAATTACCGCTTACAACCGCACCAGTCACTAAGTGATATTGATGGAGCACCCATGACGCACCCCGCACTCAAGTCACCACACACTCGGTCAAGCTGGCCCGAATATCGCCCGTCATCATGTTGTGGGATTCTGGTTGTTCCGTATTTGCCATGAAAAGACCCCGCGGCTCATGACCCCATTTCCATTGGCAGTTTAGCCTGAAGTGTCATGATGGGTCCTACAGCTATCCCATTTATCCCTATATGGAGTCTGCTGAGTGCAGACACTGTGAAATAGATAAACCTGGCCGCATCTCAATCCAGTGCACCATCATATTGTTGTTTAGTTGTTCTTTCCGTTCTATGCTAGGTTTGCTGGTGTGATATAAATACCCCTCAACCCTCGTATACCCATTCTCAGCGATACTCGTATTCGAACACATACCAACGGTTCAGTGAGATCATCCATCATGGCTGACGCTCCTATTTCTTTCCTGCCCCTTGGCGCCATCATCCAGTCCCTTGTCGTCAACGGCATCAACGTCGTCCAGGGCTTCCCCACGCAAGAGGACTATGAAAAGCACAACTCCCCCTACTTTGGCGTGACTGTTGGTCGTGTCGCCAACCGAATTAAGGGTGCTCGGATTGACAGCCTCAATGGTAAGGAAGTTACTCTCGCCGCCAATGATGGACAGAACCATCTTCATGGCGGTAAGATTGGCTGGAGCAGCCGCGTCTGGGACGGCCCCAAGCCCGTTGGAACTCGCCAAATTCCAGGCGTAGAGGGACTCGAGGGTGGGGAGAGTGTTGCCTTTACACTTACCAGTGAGGATGGTGACGAGGGATACCCTGGCACCGTCGAAGTCACTGTTACTTACACAACTGGCGCACAAAACGTCAATGGCAAGGAAGTCATCATCCTTGCCATGGAATACGAGGCAAAGCTTGTTGGTGGCGCTGATGAGACCGTCATCAACATGACCAACCACTCCTATTTCAACCCCAGCGGAAAGGAGACTATTGCTGGTACAGATATCACCCTGCCTACAGCCAACTACCTGGCTGTTGGTAGCGATCTCATCCCCACAGGCAAGATTGAGCCTTTCCCCGGTGTTACCGCCAACAAGACCTTCACACTGGGCCCCCAGGAGCCTAATATCGATCATTGCTTCGTCTTAAACACAGACCCATCCTCTGTGCCCCTAGACACCCGCAACCAGCCCCTCAACCTCAATGTCAAGGCCCACCACTCCGGCTCCGGCGTGAACCTGGAGGTTTACAGCACTGAGCCCACCTTCCAGATCTACACTGGCGCTGGCATTAATGTGCCTGCCGTCAACGGTTTGCCTGCTCGTGGTGCTCGTGCCGGTTTCTGCTGTGAGCCTGCTCGCTATGTTAACGCTGCCAATGTACCTGAGTGGAAGAACCAGGTCTTGCTCAAGAAGGGCGACACATATGGTGCCAGAACCGTATACAAGGCGTGGGCCGATTGAATTGGATCACGAATATGAAAAGAATATCTGCTAAATAGAGGCTGTTTTGAACGCCTAGCTACCGTAAGACAATTAGAAAGAAAAACCAGGTCCTGCTCCCAGACACCGTTTTGTACAAAGTTGATCGTGATGCATCCTGATGTCCCTAAATTACATGCTGTCAAGATAGACAGGCGAATCATATGCATAGAATACCCGTAGGCCTTAATCAGAATCACTGTCATCATCGCCCAGAAACGCCAAATCCGCCCTTGCTCTCTTGCGTCTCGCAGCATACGTTTCCTCTTCGTCCTCTTCATCATCATTATGCTCGTCGCCGTTGTTTTCTTCGGCGTCACTACCGCCGCTTTCAACGACCTTGGCACTCTTGCTCTTGCTGCGGCTTGCACGACCGCGGCCCTCTACACCCCAGAGAGCACTCATCTCCTGCGCAGATTCAACCTCGGCCAGAAGTTCTCGCCTCTCTTTGATTTCGCGCGCCTTCGCTTCTGAGAAGCGGCCATCCATTCCGATATCAGTGAGCATCTTCCTAAGGTGTCGAATCTTTGCTTTGGCATCATCGCCGTATTTCTTCAGCTCGTTGTGCCAAAGCTTTCTAACACCACACTTCGTAAGCTGACCCTGCAGTCGTTTGATTTCCTCGGTATTAGGGTCTTCAGATGTAGCGGCTTTCTTTGTGGCAACCTTGGTGGCCTTTGCTGGCTTGCTGCCTGCCTCTTTCTTTTCCTTCCTCTTGCGTTTCGGCTTTACTGGCTCATCGATGACATCCGAATATTCGTCTTCCTCGTCCACAACTGGCTTGTTCTCATCCCCTTTGGAACCCTTCTCTCCATCTTTTGAGTTCTGTGGTATTGTTGAACTTGTTGCCTTTTCACTTGTGAGTTCTCCATTCTCAACCCCATCATCGTTATCTCCTGACACTTCAGATTCAGATTTGATCGCATCCTCTTCGTCCTCTTCTTCGAGTTCAACAGCTTTAGACTTGTGCTTTGGCGCCGCTCTCTTTCGCTTCTTCTGCGGTTTGTCCTCCTCGCTGAGATCACTTAATTCGCTCAGTTCACTGGATACGCTGGGCTTGGACTCAAGGTCAGTTTCAATATCAGACTCCTCCTTCTTGTTTGCCTTTTTTGACTTTGGTTTTGGTCTGGGCTTCGTGACGCGTTTCTGACGCTTGGGCTTTGGTTCAGGAGATTCGGCATCAGGAGAAGAGCGCTTTACGCCAGCTTTGCCTTCTCTATCTGAATCTGCATTTTTACTGCTGTCTGGAACCCATCCGTCCATAAGTTTCTCCTGAAATGTGTAAGTATATGATGTAGACGTCGTTCATAAGCAAACATACCACTCTGTCCTTGATCAAACTTTTGCTTTTTTGCTTCCACTCTGCACTTGAGAAGAAACCGTCATCAAAGCTGAGATTCTCCTCGGTTTGTTTGCGAACCTTGTTCACAGTAGTTTCGTCCGGTGTAGCTTGATAGACTTGATAAGTCGCATCAAGGAGCGCCTGCTCGATTTCATCTTCTGAAGGCGCCATAGTTAAATTTAATATAAAATCGGTTTAAGTCAATAAGTGGCCCTTTGTCGGGGTTGCTTGAATAAGAGTGACTTGATGGCTCATAGCATTTCACGATGAGTAGTCGAGTGTTGGGTTTGAGTCGCGTTCAGACGCGACAGGCTTGGAGTGAGCCTGGCAGCCCTGGACGTTTATTGTGGAGACTTCTGTTTGGCGGGGGAGAGCTTTGACCAATGGCAGCTTGTTGCGTTTCTGAAAACCCCATCCCTGCTTGTCGAGGTCGTTACATTAATGAACACAATAGAATTGTCAATGTTTCTCCGTTTTTCGAAGAAACAAGGCTCAGTATTAATATGTTCATGTGGCGGGTTATCATATAAAAGTGCCTAAAACGGACATATATGAAGACTGTTCTGTCTTGACTGGGCACTCAACCTTTTACCTGGTGGAGTGACTTTTAGGTGTAGCTTGGCGTCTTTAACTCCGGGGGCAGCACCTAAGTATTTCCCCCTACGTAGAATTCTTAATGCTTCAAACATCTTACATCATTGACCACCATCAGTTCAAAATGTCAGCTTCATTAGCTCCAGAGTGCAACGAGGTTAAGGAGTAAGTTCATCTCACATAATGGATAAGAGCTCCGTCTTATACAGAATTCTAGGCGGTATGATACGTGTTTCTTAAAATGGTACAGCGAAAGTATGTATCTCGACCTCTACTGTGGCACTGAGCTGAAAATATGCAGAGTACCTTCGAGGCCAAGAAAAGGGCAACAAGGAATGTGCAGACATGTTTAAAGAATACCAAAATTGTCTCAAGGTACTCTTCATTCAAGGTTAGAGGCTTCCTGTTGCTCACTTACCACAGGTTGCTCTAAAGGATCGAGGTGTGGATAAATTAGTGGAAGAGGCCCGAGAAGAAAACAAAGAGAACGATCTAAAACACCTTGGACCGAGAAGTATGATACGTCCTTACTTCCTATGCCCTCTAACCTACTAATATTGCCTTTAGAATGAATGACATATATCGAGCACTAGAGAGCACGGCGTCCCGGATGAAGAAAATATGAATGTTTGGAGCTTGGTCATTGAGAGTTCCAGATGTTCCTGTTGTATCTCTCTCTACTCAACTCCCATATAATTTCTACTCCCGTGCAATTCCTCCTCCATGTCCGTCCATATCATGCTCCTATGTGTCTGCCTACCATCGTCATCGCCTTGAAGGATGCGGAATCAGGCCGCTCACACGTGATTTTCATTGATTGGGTGACCCACTGTTACTGGTAGTCCATGCCATGTTGCTCTTCGGGGACAGAACAACATGCAAGGGGAACCAATCAACTCGATCTCTTCCATTGGGTCGGCAATGCCCTCTTGACCTGCATCCTATTCCCTTTTGTTAGTTCTGACGCTCATTACCAAACGTTCTCGTCTTTATTCAGGACTATCGGCTTTGCGAACCTACGGTCAACCGTCGCTTCGTCCCGCCAGCAAACCCACTACCGACAGCTTGGCATAGCCTCTACTGGTATATCTTCTAAGCTTTTACCGAAGGACGGCATGTACTGCCACGAGGAATAGCGCTTCTATGCACCCCTTTTCTATTCTGACGCTCGGCATCTTCGTCGCTGGTTACATCACTGCCCGTTGGGATCTCGTCACTCGTCTCTATGAACTTGCCATCTTCGCTTGGGAAAACGGTGTTGTCGTGAGTCCATGCCCCGCCTTCTTGCGCAACCTTTGAAAGGACTAACCTATAACTACAAAGACACGCGCAGCAAAAGCCTTTGCTGCACTTTCCGTCCTCTTTCTCTCTATTTGCGCCCCGACTGTCTTCCTAGCCAGAAAAGAAACGAATCTGGTACGCCCGATTGCAACATTCGAAGCCGCTGGCAATGGCTAACAAGATCTGTTCAGCATCCAAGAGGAACAGGAACTGGTGTCTCTGCGCGGGAGCAACTCAGAAGGCGTGGTTCATTTTAAGAGACTCGTTCCAGTTGATATAGTTGCTTGTCATGGTAGAGCATGATGGGCTGATGAGAGTGTTCTGGCCGACGGACATTCGCAAGTCTGATCGCCCTGGCGTCGTGGTGGGATGGCGCAATTCCATATTGGACGTGTTTGTCGTAACCATCCTCGAAGATGTCGATGTTTGTTTGGTGTATTGCAATACGATAGCAGGGGTATGCTAATTTTTCTCAGGCACGAAATACCGAATTCCATCTCAAAGCCGGCACTTTGTTCCGTAGCGAGATTCACCCGACTAGCCAGATCACCGATATGTGTGGCCACAGCTCAATGCATGTCCTTGGCCTTTCGAATGCCATCGATGCAGCCGCCGCAGACCCTTCTTGGTTCTGTGCTACGACCAGCTCAAATCCAAGAGAACCAAAAATTACATGCGCGAAGGCGGTGAGCGTACAGCTTATTCTATATGACCGACCTCAGCCCCAGGGAATGCAATACGTTTCGCTGAATCCGATCGCACTAGCGCTTGGTCATGATGGTTCCTTATTAGGCGACACAACAGTGTCGGAAGGGGAGCAAGAGACTCGAGAGCGCCAAAAGAAAGAAGAGAATCGCAAATTGGTTGAGAAGCTCAAGCAACACACCATTTTTAAACGAGTTCCTTCTGCACGCGACAGGGCCCTGCCCAAAATCATCAATCAGATCAACTGGTCTTGGGAGCTGGAGAAGACGTTGCAGAAAAATGTAGGACGGCTGGGATCAAGACCACGCCGAAGCCTTAGTGTGTCTGAAAGGGTTGTTGAGACAGCATCGACAATGCGAAATTATGTCATCCTTCAGTTGTGGACATGGTTTACGCTCTACCTTTTCCCTACTATACGCAAGACCTTTGTCCTTGTTCTCATGGGCCACCGCGTTGTAGCAGAGATGCTGCTCTTGCTGCTTGAATTTCGAGCCAAGCCTGATTATGCGGCCCTGAAAGACATATCGGCTACAGCACAACAAGTTGAGATACGACTACAGCAGTTCTGCTATTGGCCGATGCAGTATATGAAATTGCGGCAACGGAAAAACAACTGGGCTAGTGTCACGACTAGTCATCCAGATTATATCCGTTTCTACAACAGTTTATGGCTTGTTGCCAACGATGTCATCATCGGAATCGCCCTAGGTTCATACATTATTGAGAATGCAGACTGGGTTGCTGAGCAAATCGGGGATCTACTCCAGGCCTACACGGTAGACGCACTCCAAAGCAGCATATCATGGCTCATGGGCTGGCCGGCTGGTCTCAAACTCAATGGTGAACTGGCGGCTTTCTTGGGAGATTTGTTCCTTTGGGTCATTGATTACTGGTCTAGTGAGTCTTGGGAACCTTCTCAAAAGTGCATACCCTTTCTGACTTGGATATAGGTTGTATCGAAACTCTTACACCAGCATTGCCCCAGATGGTGTGGTTCATAGGATTCTCCTCCTTTGCCGGAGCTAGCATGCCAATTGCCATGTTCTCTGATATGCTTTCCACCCTAACCATTCACATCTACTCGTTCTACCTCGCGTCAGGACGTATATACCATTGGCAGCTCACCATTCTCCAGTCCTTGTTTCATCTTTTCCGAGGCAAGAAACATAACGTTCTTCGCAACCGTATCGATTCCTGCGACTACGATTTAGATCAACTCCTTGTTGGCACTATTCTCTTTACGCTACTCTTCTTCCTCTTGCCAACAGTCGCTGTCTTCTATCTCAACTTTGCCATCGCAAGGATGGCGATTATCTCTTTAAAGGCTGGCTTTGATACCCTTCTTTCATGTCTAAACCACTTTCCTTTATTTGCACTTATGTTGAGAATAAAAGATCCGAGGAGACTTCCAGGTGGCATACGATTTGAGCTCCGAGATAGCCATGACTATAGGCACGACAACGATAATAATGCTGACGGATTGCCGCCTACGTCCGTTATCTACCTCAAGGTGTGTAGTTTCCGATTACTCGTATGCAACATAGCACGCTGACACCATTCTTAGTCGATTCCTCTGACATTCCGGATCATGTTCAACCAATACTTCCAGATGGCAAATCGCATCCGGAAGCACTACCTGTCACCAAAAGTCTTCTTCTGCTTGCTGACTGGCAAGTTTGTGCCGCCAATCAACCGCAAGAACTTGTATAGTCTGCAATACAGCATGTTGCCAGCTCGTCGGGCAACCATCTGGGAGATGTGGAGAGCGTTGAACACAGAGACCAGACCAGCAAAGCGGATGCCGTTGCCTTATATCCCGCCATTGCCCAATGCAGGCAGAAGAACCTCAGCGAATAATGGACGGGCTAGATGAATGACAGACATGAGAATTGCTTGAGTAGTGATGAACAATAGCTAGAAGTATCAATAAGTTCTGTAGAAATTGCTGTGAAAGTGAATTGTTCTGGCGATCAACTGAGAGACGGTCAGATCCGGTAATTATGCATCGGTCGAGACCTAGTAGGAAGCAGAGCCCCCAGCGGGCGTTTATCCTGACTCGTATTGTGCGAGTAATTTGTCGATCGTCATGAATTACAAGCGTTGGTCAGGCTAATCCAAAAGGTACTCGTTATATCGAATGTAAATCGGCTATGCAGTTCGGTTGCAGTTGCTTCCATCCTCTAATCTTACACACATGAAATATGATTGGAACTTTATTCTTCCAACCCCACCTCCCCGGATTCACGGCCCTCTTGGTCCTGTGTCACCCATGGGTTACTTCAGTAGATATGGATGTAGGTGGGTAGGTACAGGTACAGATCCGCCTGAGCAAGTCGGGCTGGAACTGAAATGGCCAAATCCTTATCCAATTAATCACCACAATGTTCCACAGATTGACTTGGCTGATTACCGTAGAGACCTCTGAGCTCAAATTCTATCGTCTCAGAAGTGGTTACCCAATGATGTAACATCCTCCAATACTCAAAACTACTATTGTTCCCCGCGCTGCACAGCGGTTGAACTAAGACAGGCTCAATGACCCCCAGACCACTAAAAACGGCAACCTTGTTTTCTCCTCGGCAGAGACCAGATGAAGTTAACAGGTTATGGCATATGAATGCTGTATCCGAAAATGTCTGTGCAAACTAGCAATGACGACAAGGTTGCTGATGGTTGGTTACCAGTGTGACTTGCAAGTCACCAATAGTAGCGAAGACATCGTCGGTATGTATCTTCAAGGGTCCCTCTAATAAAGTCTTGATCGTAGGCTTCTCGAATTCCTGTTCGGTCCACTCTAACAAGCTAACAATGCTCCTAAGTGCTCTTGGTGCTCTTTAATGCTCTATCGTCTTTTTCAACTTAAAGAACAGGCATTGGCCCACCATTCTTATTCAAAGGGTCCAGAACCCTCTCTTAATCTCCCCGCCGTACTTTTATCAACAAAGGGTAGTCAACCCCAGCTCTAAAGAATTAAACGATTTATAGTGGCACCATCATTTGGTAACAGCACCACGCTTGCAGCACACATCATACCTCGCACTTCTTGTCCCATGCCTTGTGACGCCCGCCAATTTCTCACTAACGAATACTTGTCCTGCCGAACCATCCACCAATTCATCCCGTCCATCCATCTCAGACAGGCTATCCCCCAACTGTCCATGGCAGGCTGCTCCACTCATCACCACGTTCAACAACGTCTTCCCATTCTCGTCGGCCCCATCAGGCGGCATTGACGTCACTACCAGCTGCTGGTTCGACGAGACCTCAAGTCGTGACCCTGAAAGCTGAGGAAGCATTGCCAAAGTCGTACGGAGACGAGGGGTAGCAGTGCAGCGCTCTGGGGTAGTAGAAACTAGAGGCACATTCGCATCACCTGCTGCGGCTTATTTCACTTCCTGGTAAGTGATTGACACGTTCTCTCGGTCTCTTGATACTGTCATGTATATATACATACCTCCAGGACTGGAGAGATCATCCTCGGCCCAGAGTCCCCTTACTACGTCCTCACCAGAACGTGAAATCGGCCTCCCAGTTTTCTGATTCATGCCTGTTTTTGTCATAGGTCAATTGCACTACCCATATAAAGTCGTTCTCGTCCGCTTTCTGACATCATCTGCTGTAATATCATCTTTCACATTTCTTCCAAGCAGAGCATATAGAAGGAAACTCGAACTAGCAACTTGTATTAACACTGTTCGTAATGGAAACACAGGTCCAAACAACAACCCATCAACACGACCCTTGGGCTGCCACCCATCAGGTCATTCTTCAATCAGCCGCCATGGATCCTAAGCAACGTTTCTACAACCATTTCCTGGAGAGTGTTACAGGTAAGAATGGATGTTAGATCTTCAAACGCTCTCCATTGCCTAACTTCCATGTTGCGTAGTACTCCAAGACCTGATCGATGAGCTACCATCCATTGCTAGTGTCGGTGGTGAGCGCCAGGAGGCCATTGATCACATTCTAGCCAGTATCGCCAAGCTACAAAACGAAGTGTCTGATGCTGCCGACTACACACCTTCTTATGACAGAAAACAGTATTCTGAGGTAACCCAGCTGGCCTCTTTGACTAGCTGCTTCGACTGACATTCACATGCTTGATAGACCATTAAGACTCTCCAGGACAAATTGAATGAGACAATCACCAAAATCACACCAAAGTCAAAATTTCAGTTTCGTCGTAAGACCGACCACGTTGATATGGGCGCTCCTGAGAACGACCCTCGACTTAGCCCTGGAAGCCATTCTCGGGCCAAGCATGACACGACCATTGCATCTACCATCGCCAGTCCTCCTTCGGCGACAAAGGAAGACACTCTCAGCGAATTACCGCCTAAGGATACCTACAAAAATTACAATGAAGAGATGGCTCGACCCAGCGCATCTTCCCTTCGTAAGCCCAGCTTCTCTGCTGCCAAGAATATTGGCATTTCGAATCATTCAGGGCTACACATTATTCTACCGTCTTCGGCATCCCGTGCCACCTCTTCGGGTAGTCTCACTGATCTCAAGAATTGTATCATCGATATGTCTATTCCGACATCCTCGGGCACAGCTTTCCCTGGCCTTGCTATTAAGAATGTATCCAAGAGCCTCATCGTCGGGGGTCGCGTCAACGGCGCAGTTCATATCACAGGAGTGTCTGACAGCACTATAGTTGTTGTGGCCAGGCAAGTGCGGATTCATGAGTGCAGTAACGTTGACATCTACCTACATTGTGGAAGCCATCCTATTATTGAGGACTGCTCTGGCATGCGATTTGCACCTCTGCCCAAGCCCTATGTAAGATATAATCTTCGATATTTGAATAGCTAGACTAACAGGCGTATAGACGACTGACGCTGAGGAGCCTGGGGAAAACCAGTGGGATCAGGTCGATGACTTTAAGTGGTTAAAGGCTGGTCACAGTCCTAACTGGACCACTCTGTCCGAAAACGAAAGGCTCAGTGATGACCTTTGGAGATCTGTCGTCCCTGGCCAGCCTGGTGTCAGTGTGGAGGAGTCCTTGAAAAAGCTGGGCATTCCACGGAGGTGATGGCCGCAATGAATACCTAGTGAAAGGATGAAATTCATACCCGGCCGTAGGGCTTCATATCCGCAGATCAGGTAGAACGCAGCGCACAACATAAATCCTTTTATTTAATGCGAAACTCCAAACACCCTGCTGATAAAACCAATACGACAATCTTGCTAAAAGTAATAGTCTAATGCCGAAAATCATACGTGACCCATCATAAGAAACACTGGACGTGTATCATGACTCCATCTTGTCACCAGCACTGACTTCCTCTTTCCGATCCCTTCCAGTGGCTTCGTCTCTTAATCGTTGGAGTAATGCTCGTTGTTTCTCGATGCGATTTTCAAGGTCACGGATCTCATCGTTCTGTTCGGCGATGGATCGGTCCATATCCGGGAGCTCTCGGACCTGTGCGCGAGCACGCTGCAGCTTGTGTTTCAGGCCATCGGTGGCTCCAGGGACATCTTTGAAAGACAATGTAGGTCCAGAGGCGTTGTGACCGGTGGTCCCCGGGGCAGGCTCTGTAGTGATTCCAGCCGACGACTGAATACCAGCGCGGACGCGGGCCAGGACGAGAGAGAGCTCGGAAAGGGCGTCTAGAGTATCCGGAGAGAACGTGGGTGGGAGGGCCAATGGGTGTGGACCAAATGCGGATGCAGGCGCAGATGCAGATGATGGAGACATGGTCTGTCGTTCTATGATATGACTCGATTCAACTTTGACCGCTCGAGGGCTCGCTCGGAAAGGATGGTAGGAGAGAATCAGGCGACGTAGGTGTGGATGCGGTGTAGTGTGATGTCGGCAGGCAGTTCAAGGTGAGTGATCCTGATAGCGTTGTATCTCTATTACATACAGCTCGGGGAAATAGGCCGAGTGGGTTCTCTCAGCCTTGCATAAAACTCGTAATAGCGTCGAGTTTTATCACAGATGGTGGTGGGCAAATGGAAAAGATCGATTGGGCCGATGGGCCGTTTTGTTGTTGGGTTGACGGTCCGAAAGAGATGGAAAAAAGGCCAAAGATTGACAGTGTGAGTTCATCATTACACGTTACAAAATGGGACTTCTCGTATGCTATGCACCGTGTGAATACAAATCATGGCCGCTGAGTGACATGACATAAACCCCCACCACTACAACGTGTTTCCCTGCAAAATCATCTGTCGTCTCTGGGCCCATCAAATCACGCATCATTTCTTTTACTCAAGACAGGCCCGAGTTACTCTCCGTCTTATCCTTATCTTCCTAGAGTCTCTTCTTTATACCTCGTCTATTTCTTTCTCGTGCTCCCTGGTTCTCTTCTTCTTTCTTCTCATTGCCAGTGCAAGAAAGAAAGAACCAACAAACAGTAGTCATCATGTCCAAGACTGATCAAAAAGCCTGCCTCAGTACGTCGTCATGCCCCGCCCCCTCCAAAATTCCAACAAACCCATTTTCATGCCCCGCGATCGGGATAGCAACAGCGCTGCAATGAGAAACGTTTGAAGATAAATACTCCCGTTGCTCAGGAATTTCCAATTGTCTCGCGACCAGATTGGATTGTTACATCGTGTTTTGTCCTCATATATTTGGAATTGGCCTGGCTAATCATGTTGTTTTCGCATTCTTATAGTCGTCATTGACGGTTGGGGCATTCCCTCTGCCGACAGCCCCAAGGACGGTGATGCCATCACCAACGCCAAGACCCCCGTCATGGACGCTCTCTACAAGGACTCCAAGGGCTACACTGAGCTCGAGGCCTCATCGCTGGCGGTGGGACTTCCAGAGGGTCTCATGGGTAACTCTGAGGTTGGACACTTGAACATTGGTGCTGGTCGCGTTGTGTGGCAAGATGTTGTCCGAATCGACCAGACCATCAAGAACGGCGAGCTGGCCCAGAATGATGTTATCAAGAAGACTTTCCAGAGTGCTGCTGCTGGAAACGGCCGACTACACCTTTGCGGTCTTGTCTCCCATGGTGGTGTGGTAAGTCATATCATATACAGTTCCTTCTTTCTACTACCAGTCACTTACACCAGAGCAGCACGCCAAGCAAACCCACCTCTACGCCCTCCTCAAGGCTGCCAAGGAGTATGGCGTGCCCAAGGTCTTCATCCACTTCTTCGGCGATGGCCGTGACACCGACCCCAAGTCCGGCGCCGGCTATATGCAGGAACTTGTCGACACTGCCAAGGAGATTGGCATCGGTGAGATCGGTACCGTTGTTGGCCGATACTTCGCCATGGACCGCGATAAGCGTTGGGACCGCCTCGAGATCGCCCTTAAGGGTCTCGTCCTCGGTGAGGGTGAGGCCTCTGAGGACCCCGTTGCTACCGTCAAGGCTCGATATCAGCGCGGTGGTGATCTTGATAGGGATGAGTTCCTCACTCCCATCATTGTTGGTGGCGATGAGCGCCGCATCAAGGGTAAGTTCAGTTTCAATTAGTTGCATTTCAAACACAACCCCTAACAGCAGCACAGATGACGATACCGTCTTCTTCTTCAATTATCGATCCGACCGTGTCCGCCAGATCACCCAGCTTCTGGGCGATGTTGATCGATCTCCTCTTCCCGACTTCAAGTACCCCAAGATCAAGCCCCTTGTCACCATGACTCAATACAAGGGTGACTACCCCTTCGAGGTTGCTTTCAGGCCCCAGCACATGGGTAACGTCCTCGCCGAGTGGTTGGGCAAGCAAAACGTTGAGCAGGTCCATATCGCTGAGACCGAGAAGTATGCTCACGTCACCTTTTTCTTCAATGGCGGTGTTGAGAAGGTCTTCCCTCTCGAAACCCGTGATCAGTCCCAGGATCTCGTCCCCTCCAACAAGTCTGTCGCTACCTACGATCTTGCACCTGAGATGTCTGCCGATGGTGTCGCCGACCAGGTTGTCAAGCGCCTGGGTGAGCAGAAATTCCCCTTCGTCATGAATAACTTTGCCCCTCCTGACATGGTTGGTCATACTGGTGTCTATGACGCTGCTGTCATCGGCTGTGAGGCCACCGACAAGGCCATTGGCAAGATTCTTGAGGGCTGCAAGAAGGAGGGCTACGTCCTCTTCATCACAGCCGATCACGGCAATGCTGAGGAAATGAAATTCCCTGACGGCAAGCCCAAGACTAGCCATACTACAAACAAGGTGCCCCTTCTCATGGCCAACTACCCCGAGGGCTGGAGTCTCAAGAAGACCGATGAGGGTGTCCTCGGTGATGTTGCCCCTACCGTGCTTGCTGCCATGGGTCTACCTCAACCCGAGGAGATGACTGGCAAGTCTCTTCTCCAAAAAGCTTAATGTTTATGACGATGACGAGAGCACGTATCTAAAACAAGGGTCCTTCGGGATGGTGTAGCAGTAGTGGGTGTGGCATTAGCGATTTGTGGGTTGTTGGTTATTGTTGCGCGTGAGTCGATGCGATGACTCTGGAGTTGAGGGCGGAAGGGTTAGAAGTTATGCTCGGCTGCATAGACATAGAGTCGTAATCCTAGAATAGTAAAACGACCAGTAATAGAGACGAACAACACTGCCTCTCAATTTCCTGCCTGTATCAGACAAATGTCTAAGGGAATTGGTCCGCTAGGTATAAGGCCGTCGACGGAATCGATTGATAATACCAATTTCTGAAGGGGCAGATCAAGGCACCGATGAGTAGGCCAGTGCATCGCTTCTGCTTGTTTCCTGTACCTAAACTACACAAAGACAACGACAACGAAGCACTACAACAACCAGTCCACCCTATACTGGCTAGTAAATTCCTATCAAGATAATTCTAACGAAATCTCTTCTAACGTGAAGGTCGGTATGTGAAATGGAAATTCAGAGTAGGTGGCTAGTGATCTCTCAATTTAGAAACCAACAATGCCCTTTCCTGAAAAATGGACATCCCATATCAGCTACACATAATTGTCCCATCAGATAGGGATGATACACCGGCAGTGTGAGTATTGTCGGGATTCATTTCGTGGGTCAATTCATATGAAATAACAAAAACCGAATTAAGTCTGGGTCGTTCGAAATTGACGACAGTGAATAGGGGTTGAAAAAGAAACAAAAATTGAATTCATCGTAACGCGCTAGATCTTTACCGCTATATCATATCGTATAGATACGATTAACTTAGCCCAAGACCGATATGAGCAAGACATGCCATTGCTTGCTCCGGGCAGTTAGGGTGGCAACATCAAGCCGAATCAGTTGTACATAGTTCATTCGATCCAACGAACAAGGAGAGGCTGTTAAAAAGTCCCCTGTGAAGCTGATGCGAGAACCAAAACTAGCGAACTGTAGTCTGCCGTGGTGAATACTGGACCAGAGTCTTTAGGGCCAGGTCGCCGGATGGATACAAACAGGCTGAGGGGGGCACCCCGGTTCCTATCACAGAAGCCCAATAAATAGGTAGTATTCCCATGCAGAACACCACTTTCGTCTGTTGTGGGAACATGGTTTCCGAGGGACTGTCTCCGAAAGTATGAGGAAAGTGGCAGTGAAACGAGATCAAGGTCGAGTATTGAGATAATACCTGACTTCCTCAGATTGGATGAGTGAAAGGAGCTGGAACCGTGATGGTGGGTCATCAGAAGCATATCAACTGGAGCAACTTCACAATCCTATGGAGGCTAGGAGGCTCAACTTACACCAAAAGCTGTTTAGCCAATGGTGTGTTCGAGTCTGGTGTCACGTACCAAGGAGTCAGATCACTCCCGCATCCTGGGCGACCGGAATCCACAGTGCTTCAGATCTGTGCAACCTTCCAAGCCACATGCTCTTCTATCTAATCAATCACTTCATCTCAATTCGACGATCATCCAGGGGTTATATGTGGCTTCCTAGGGGAGGGAAGAAAACACAGGTCCTCGATCATGAATGACAAGAAGACTTAGGTAATATAGCCTGAGCTTAGGAATAACTTTTGCTAAATTTATTTTGACACCTCACAGCAAGGTTCGCTGTTTTCTTGCCCCCCCGAGGGCTTCAAACAGCAGATATCTGATAGGGACACTCAAACAGCATCCTTAAAACATCCTAAGAGGTCAAGGGACGCCG